TGACACTAACTTTTATTCAAGATGAGCATTAATATTACATTTTACAATAAACTGTTGATTATTCAAAACAAATAATCACAGTCTGTTTGATTCAGCTTTCAGTGCAGTTTGTATGCTATCAAAAATGTATAAAAAGAAAAATTTGCTAAACATTAACCAGTGGGTAACACAATCCATCAGCTTTTGAAATGAAATGCTCAACGTTTCCATCGCTCACCCAAATGCCCATGCATCTGCTCAAAGTGTAAATCGTTACTGTAAAACTAATTAAAAGATTTGTCAAATTCCTCCAGTAAGTTGAGTAAATGCTAAAACATCTTTAAAAAGGAAAATATGGAAAAAATCTCAAAACACATTAAAACATCCAGAGTTGCAAAAAACTCATTAAATGACTCACAACTGAAAAAAGGCCATGTTATGTTTGCCTTCTGTCTTTTTTCTGGGGTAATAAGCAGAAAGCAAGGAGATAACATGGCATCAGGTCACTATAGCACATTCATACGTTTGGGTTTTCAGTGGCCCCAAGCTGCACATCTTCAAATGCTGACAGCCCTTGTGAACATAGCTATGTGGAACAGATTGGGCCTAATTAGCAGCTTCCATTTGTCTATGGGTAAAACCACTCAAATCAGCCATCACAGGTCGTTCACAGATGTCTGTGGCAGAGAAACAGACACACTCATATGTGGGAAGCAGACACCAGGTACTACAAGACACCTAATCATAAAGTGAGAGCTAAAACTCATCGACATCTCAAGTGGTTTGTCATATTTTCAACCAGTGTGATGTTTCTTTCCCCCCGGTTGTCACTGTTCGGAGCGCTTCGAGGTCAGCATCAATCACGCGCCCATCACTGTCTGTTACAACTGATGGTCCCCCTGGACTGTAATGAATCCTAATTTAAGCTGCCATCAGGACACTTCCAGAACAAGGCCTCAGGCTGTATCCAAGTGGACATGATGTTGTTCTCACAGCCCAACTCAGATAACAAAGAAATGGCACACTTTCCCCTACAAGACATCCAAATCCAAACATGGCTCACTTCAACATGACTGCATTGTCAAAAGAAGAATTCAACTAAAATCATCCCAAAGTTACAGTATCATTTCTCTAGAGTTGTTAGTCTAACAAGCTCCGTTTACAATCCATTATAAGGATAACTCACTATTTAACAGAAAACCCTGACGAAGCTGTTTAAATAGAGTTGAAGATAAGACAAATTATATTTATGCACTGACTATGTATTCTAAAAATACCCACCATCTTTTACATCCAATATATTTAGCATTAAGAGTTTATATTCTGAGACATAAAAACCTGCTTTCCTTGTTCATTGGTATTTTAAATGCCTCCATATGGGCTGAGCAAAAGGAAAGCAGAAGGATGGAGGAAGGCTGAGAACTGAGCCTCAAAAGCACAAACTGTAGAGACTGACTTTTGTTTCAGAAAACATTCCTCTTTCATTAGAAGAGTTTTGGAAACACAGCCACGACTAACGTTTAACACAAATACAAAGTCATGATTTGGTTCACTTCCATGGTTAAACGTGGGATTAATGTAATACCATGTATAGCGACACTTCAAGCGAAAAACTCCCAGAAAGGTCGATGAAGGAGTTTGACTTTACTCACCATTAAACTTAGTTGGACCATCCCAGGACTAGTATTAGGCCCACATCACTGACGGGGCCTTTTTCATAGGGCAGCTGCGCTAACCAGGCCGTGTGTGAAACATGACTCGCCAATGTTTGTTAGAAAACAATGAGGAAAAAAATTGTCCACAGAAGGCAGAGAAAGCATCGACAGCCAGTCTGTTTGGGGCAGGGGAATGTGGCACTGTAACTCGCACCTGTCGTTATAACCTGCATTGAAAATGCTTTTCATTTTTCTAGGGACTGGGTGACGCTGTGGACAACTTTGGATGAGATTATTATTCCCAAAGAGGCAGCCCAGCTCGGAAGCAGCTAACAGTTAGCCGCTAACGTTTTAACGTCGTTCAACTTTACCCTGCTTCAGGTGCGCCAAAGGTTAGCACTTGGCCTCCGTAACAGAGATGTGCGCACCAGCTCTCCAGAACAGCACCACCTGCTGTTCGCTCTTGGTCATTAGCGTTTGAGATAATTAAATCAGGTGCGAAGTTGGTTTCTATTTCCTGACACCACAATTATTATGTGGACAAAATCTCCCTGAAAAATCATTCAACTCAATCATTCTAAACACTTCATTTTGGCATGTTACTGTATAACTTGTTTGCTTATCAAAGTGAGCACTTGTAAGTTTTATTTTTAATATATGTTTATTTATAAAGGGTGATGTTACTGAATGCTGTTACCCCTTTGACTTTGACTGCTGAGTTAAATGTTTAGTAAATGATGCCAACGCATTTGAGCTGCAATAGGAAGGCTTGTGCCAAACAGGGCAGGCTGAGTAGCAAGAAATAAACACAAGTGAAGCTCCAGCTGGCTTACTGCTGTAGAGGGCCTAAATATTATGAAAGCACGTTTATCAAATGCAAATTGGAATTCAGAACACGTATTTGAAGTGTAGGCTACAATATGTAGGATACATAAAAAATAAAGGTGACCCCAGTCGACATAACCCAGGTAGTATAATTTTAAGATAATGCACTTGACACAATAGAGAAGGACAGAAGTGCATGAAATCAATCAATTTTTGCTTGACTGACATGAGCACCAGAGACAATATAATGGAGCTACTGTTTACATGTAGTAAAGGTAAAAAAAAAGGTGGCATCAGACTTTAATTAGGTAAAAATGGCCAACTTTGCTTTAATAGAAAACATGCAGAGGCCTATATGAAAGACTTACTGAAATGTCTTAAGACCCAATAAGACCTACAGTCTAGAAATAGAAGCAGATACAAAGAAGGGATCAATCACATGAAGTGTAAAATGTTCAATTACAGTGACAGAACAAGGAATGGCATGATGAATACATACTCCTGTCAAAGTGAACCTTACTTAAAATAGATAAAAACATAATATGGACTTGCTGATTCAAGAGTCTTAAGTCAGTAAGACAAGTGAAATGTAGAGCGTCCAAAGGGGACTGATACCTTATCAGGAGGATGACAAAAAAACGTCTTTCCTCTCATGATTTAACGTAGCTGTCATATACATACAGAAATACACTCACATATTAAAACCTGCATTGCTTTAAGCAAAAGTTAAATGTGCTATTTTTTCTAAAAAAAAAAAAAGCCAATAATGACTTCCAGAACTTGGTTTTAAGTCCCTCCATCACTCAAAAGTGTGAAATTGCATTTTGGTTGTATGATCTATATATTCTTATTTATGAAATTGTGGTTTGGAGTTTTATGCTCTCATTTTAGTAATGATAAGTTATATATACTCACCTAATGTTGAGTATGTAATTAAAGTGTGTGACATTGATTTGTAATCTTTGTTGGCTTAGGCAAGCGCTGAGGCAGCACATACTTTATGTGCATTGCCTATGATGCAGATAAATCCTATCAACTTGCATGCACAAATAAGTAAAATGCACCAGCAACTGGCATGTTTACCTTCCTGTATGTTGTGATGTTGATTGTTTATTTCACTGATTTATTTTCCCTCAGGTGTTAATAAACCATGTCTAATCCCATCTCATCTGTTCTCATGGCCTCTCACTTCACTTCTTATCCTCATCTCTCTCCATCGCCTATACTTCATCTCATACATACATATTCTCATACTGCTATCTTTGTTCCATGCATGTGGAAAATCCAACAAATGAACAGGAACCTGAGTAAACATAGCACAACAGCAGGTAACTAATGGCTCACACTGAATGCTAAAACTTTGTCTGGCAAAGTGAGATATCTGTGTATTATGTAACTGACCCGGAAAGTGCTATTTGAAACTGCAAGAGCAATTTCAGTGAAGTCATTAATACTTGCTTTCTTTTACCTCTTGAGCTGAGTGCACTGCACTTCTTTCAGAGGTTTAATGGATAAAAACTACTTGGCCCAACTACAGCATGGAGAAGTTGACTAAATCACTTTTAGACAGCAGCCTGGAAGCAGGTCAGAAGCAGGACTGGCTTAAAGTGTGGGGAGATGAAAAGCTTCTCAATAACTGCTGCCAAAGAAACAGAACACACTCACTGTATCTGTATCTAAAATTTTACTTCATAAATTGGCAGTAAATATCTGGTGAGTCTGACTGAAATGGCATGACCTACTGTAGGAGTAATAGAACTCCTATTAGGGGACACAGTGTCAATCCAGGCATCACCTT